CTAACCCACTAAATGAGGCCCAGGACACCCCAGCCATTCCTTCTTGAAAATAACATGCCACAGCCCCTGGGTGTGGTCTGTTGTAAAACCCCATGCCTGCCTCCTATGTGCCCTTGCTGGTGGGAGCAGGGAAGAAGCTGGGCAGGTGCATATCGATGACCAGCCTGAACTCTGCGTTCGGGATAGCCTGGCACCACGCGCATTCTAGGTCACGTGTCACCAAGGAGGCCACATCATGCCTAGATCTCCAAGGCACAGATGGTGGTGGGTGGACACCACAGGCCTCCTGGGTCCCTGTGAGCTCACGCACACTGCTGGGAAACAGGAGGGGATGGGACAGGGCACGTGTAGTGTACGGGGCATCTGGCACGTGCAAGGTCAGACCCAGAGCACCAGGATGCCGAGCCTGCCTGCGGGCCGGGCACTCACGCCATCTTCATCCTGAACTCCAGCATCCTGGGATCACTGCTGACGAACATCAAGCGAGGCTGCGGGCTGGTCTTCTTCCCTGCAGGAATGGGCACGTTTCCTGCCCAGAGCCGGATGTACCACTTCCCTAAGAGCTGGAGGGGGAAGCCACTCCTCAGCAGGAATGAAGGGGCAGAGAGGCTGGGGCTGGATGGGAGCAGAGGCAGGCGCAGGCTTGGTTGGGGTCTCTGTGCAGGCTACAGGGTCTGAGACCTCAGAGTGGATGGAGAGGCCGCCTCTTCCTGGGCAGCGGGGGAGCCAGGCAGACCTACGCATGGCCCGCCTTCTCATGCCTCCCGGGAGGGGCTCTGACCAGCCCTGCACGAACACCCACAAGAAGCTGAGAGCAGGCACTTGAAGGACTAGATCTGACCTTTACGCTTAGGAAGATGAAGCAGCAGGATAGGGTAGGAAGCAGAACAGACAGATGCATAGGTGGGTGGTAGGTCCATGCTCCATTAAGCCTGGTCCCTTTGCTGACTTCAGTCACCACTGCTGGCCTGTGGGTGGCCAGTCCCTGCCTCCTGCCCCTACAGTCTCTCTAAGGATTGGACTCGCCAACATTGAACCAAAACCAGAAGGCAGTTGGTGTTGGCCCTAACCCTAACAGACACAAGACAGATGTAGGAGACCTGAATGCATGGCCCCACACCAGCCTCCCCGCCAGATTCACTTTATTCCTGGTTCCTAGGAACAACATGGCCCTGCTAATTATTTATCTCCTGTGCCCAGAAGCATAGGGTCAGGGTGAGGCCTGAGATGGCTGATCCCAGTCACTCTGTGAGGAGACCAAGGAGGATCCGGGCCAGAGTTTGGTGTAGAAAGGATCAAGAGAAACTAGAGTCCCAGAATCAGGTGGCCCAGAGCATGACAAGCCACTGGCCAAAGAGAGGAAAGGAAGACTTGGACAGTCATAATGAGGCAGCCCTGGATTTAGATAGATGAGCCCAGACACTGGACACGAGTCTCTAAAGGGACCCAGGATGTCTGGCCACCATTTTTGATTTGTTAGCTTCCGGGAAGAGAGCGTTCAAAGTGAAGGAGGCTGCCACCCGGTGCCTGAGTTGATTGCTGATCATCTCCAGGGCTTTCCTTGATCTTGACACAACACATGTCCTAAGTTTTTATAAGTAAAACAAACTTGGACAATCTAGGGTTTTCTGTCAGTCACCTCTCTTGAGCTTTCCTTTGGGAAACAAAAATTCTTCCCTGCAGCCACGGCTGAGAGGGGGCGTGAGGAGCGAGAGGGCTTCATGCATGCTAGGCAAACACTTTACCACTAAGCCACATTCCCAGCCCTGTATAATTTTTTATGTAAGTTAAATTCACACAAAACACATGGGTATGAATTTCTTTCATCTCTTTTATTCGTTTTCTGAAGTTATACTTCAGTACATAAATGTATAGATGTAACTGATTTCACTACTCTTTGCAAAGCATTGTATTCTGTAACCCTCATGCTAGAATATTCTATAATTTTAAAAAAATGAATCTCAAACCACAAAGAAAGGAGGACTTAAGTTGCAAATGTAAAGTGAAAGTGAGAAAGTTACCACTAGTTTTGTAGCAATAAAATGATTATAAGAGAATATGGTGTATCATTGCGCGCCAACAGCTGATAAAGGAACATTACTCAGCCATCAGCACGGAGCTCCACATATGCTAGAACGTAGACAGACCTTGAAACTGTTAAAATTCCACTTTTAAGGAACAACTAAAATAGGCAACTTCATAGACAAGAGAGGAGAAGCTACCACAGGCTGGGAGAAGGAATTGGAAGTCAGTGTTGAATAAATATGGAGTGTCTAAGTGGAGTAATACGTCACTTTGCCAGTTCATATGTCATGTCTCCCCTAAGCACTTCCTAAGGAAACCCACAGACAAAGGCTCTGGCATCAGTCCTTTGCTGCTGAGGCTCCTAGGAATCTCAAGCAAGGCCATGGGAAGGTAAAGTGGGCTTGTGCTGAGGTGCTGGCCTTGAATTTGTACTTGACACACCTGAGCTGGAGCATGTAGCTATTTCGGCTCTAAGTCTACATTAAAACCTGGGCTTAGCCTGCCCCCTAGTGTTCAAATAGCAGAAGTAACTACATGCACAAGTAAGATTGGATGGGGGGAACACACCCTGGCAAAGTTACAAGTGTGTACAAGTATGTGTTTACTCTGTCCCCTTGCCTTTCCTGGGATTCTGCCTCTGGTCTCAGCACACACTGCCTGACAGGGGGAAGGGTAGCTTGTTTAAACAAGTCTGATGGGCAGAAAAGCAAAATGGTGCTTGCTGCATGCAAGATGGAGTTACTCTGGCTAGGATTCAGAAGACACGTTTTACTACACCTGGGCACACGTGCTAAGACTTGTGATTTGTCATTACCATCCACCTCCAGGGGACAAGGCGCTGGTGGACAAAAGTAGGTAATGTCTGGGTCTCAACCAAGTTTTTGTAAAGACGTCTGTTTGTCCCCATGGTGCTGGCTCTCCCTAAGAAAAATGAGGACCACACAGAGAACCACAGGGCCCATGTGCACCTTCCTGGGCTCCCTCTACCCCAGCCTGTGACCCCTCAACGATTCCTGCTGTCCACTGAGGAGGAAAGGCCTGAGAGTCCTGTTCCTGGGCTCACCCAAGTATATGCAGACTTTTCTGAGAATGATGTCAGAGCAATGCTCTAGGGAATTCTGTGGCATCGTAGAATTGAGTGAAGCTGGAGATGGACTGTGAAGGTCAAGTGCATGCTGGGCAGCAAAGGACTGGGATGGGAGTGAGTACCAAAGGGGTTAGTTTAGCCTGTCTCCTAAACGTTCCTTCCAGGAGCCCAAGCCTCAGCTCCCCAGGGTTGCCAGTGGGGAAGCGGGACACGGCTTTGTCCTTCAAGGATGGAGACCGCCTCACTATGGAATCAAGGGCTGGAACTCCCCCAATGCCCATTTTACAAATGAAAGGCTGGAGATCAGGAGGGGACCAGCTACATAGAGATGCTGGGTGCCTACCTGTTGCCCCTGGGTGTGTCGGCCAGGCATCTGCTACTAGAACAAATGCCTGAGATGGCTAAATGAAGAAAGTTTTATGTGAAGTCACAGTTGCTGATGGGGTCCAGAGTGAAGTGGGCCTGTTGTCTGAGGGGTGTGCATGATGACCAGGAAAAGTCCAGATGCTCCTCCCACCCCCTGGCCCCAGGTCCTGCTTGGTATACTTTTTAAGTCGTGGCATGGAGGTAGGGGGACTCTTCTTCTATGTCCCCTGTGGCCGGGTGGACAGTCTGGACCAGGCGTGAGCTGGAGCAGCGCCCAGCCCACAGAGATAGCGGTGTCCTGTCTCGCTTGCCCCTCTGTTAAAGAACAATGACCAGAGAGATGCTGGCAGCCCCAAGGCCAGACCCAGGGACTCCACAAACTTAAACCAGGTAGGGAACACGCCTCAGGCGTTCCCTCGGGCCCCAGGGAGCCAGCGTGTGCACCTGCCAACAGAAGCAACCCCTTCCAGAGGCCCCCAGGGGTCCTGGCCTGCGTCCAGAACCTGCAGACTGAGAAAATATGTCCAGCCACACAGGAACCTGTGGTCCTCAAGGGACCCCTAAGCACCTGGAGGCTGTGCCCGGGCACAGCCAGATGCCAGACAGTCCTGGGTTTGTGGCTTCAAGCTGCTTTATGTCTCTGAGCAAACTCAGAACCTCTCTGAATACATTGTGGTTGATACTGTGTGTGTGAGAGAGAGACAGACAGGCAGACACAGACACAGAGAGACACAGAGAGACAGAGACCGATAGACAGACAGACAGACAGAACCAGAATTGAAATCAGAGCCTCTGGCTCCCGCTTGGCTTTTTCACTCAAGGCTGGTGTTCTACCACTTGAGCCACAGCTCCACTTCCATCTTTTTGCTGGTTAAGTGGAGATAAGGTCTCCAGGGCTAGCTTCAGACTGCACCTCGGAGCCCAGCCCCTGGCGTAGAGACAGCCACCTGCGCCTGGAGATGCAGCTTTGGCTGGCTGCTTTCTCCCCTCCCACCTCCCTCTCTTATTTACCCTCTCCATTTTCTTTTCTTAGTCCCAGATCCGGATTCAAACTAGGTACCTGCCGCTGCTTTCGCTCATTGGCTACCATTCTGCCAGCTGAGCCACACCTCCGGCGCCCTCTTTTGGCCAAGGGCCCCGTTTTGCGCCTTTCTCTGCCCCCTGCCCCCTCCGGGTGCTCGGCTGACCTTTGTGAGATGTCAGAGGTGGCCCTCGGGCCCTGGGGTGGACCCACGCCTCCCCCGGGGTCACTGCCCTGGGGTGGTCCTGCGGGTGTCACGGGTGGTCCTGCGGGGTGTGTCACGTGGGGGGGAACGGGTGGTCCTGCGGGGTGTGTCACGTGGGGGGGCCGGGATGACCCTGCGGGGTGTGTCACGTGGGGGGGCCGGGGTGATCCTGCGGGGTGTGTCACGTGGGGCCCGGGTGATCCTGCGGGGTGTGTCACGTGGGGCCCGGGTGGTCCTGCGGGGTGTGTCACGTCGGGGCCGTGAGCCCGGGAGGACCCGTCCTACCTCTCGCAGAGATGCCGGCGTCCGCCTTCCCGCCGCCGCCTCTGCGTCCTGGGACCGCGGTCCCTGGCCCCTTCTCCGCCAAACCCTGCCCCGGCTTCCGGCCCGCGCTCCCGGGCGGTCCGCGGTCCAGGCAGAGCCGCAGACGGCCGGCAGACGCCACTGCCCGGGCCAGCGACCCGACCTCGAGAGCCGGGTTGGGGCCGGGCGCGGAAGGCCGAACTCGAGAGCCGGGTTGGGGCCGGGCAGCGGCGGCGAGGCCCGGCGCGGCGGGCGGGGCGCGAGCGGCGGGCGGGGCGCGAGCGGGCGGGCGGGGCGCGAGCGGCGGCGAGGCCCGGCGCGGCGGGCGGGGCGCGAGCGGCGGGCGGGGCGCGAGCGGTGGGCGGGGCGCGAGCGGCGGGCGGGGCTGTGGCGCCAGGTGAGCGCAGTGGGCGGGGCGTGAGCGGTGGGCGGGGCTGTGGCGCCAGGTGAGCACAGTGGGCGGGGCGCGAGCGGCGGGCGGGGCGCGAGCGGTGGGCGGGGCGCGAGCGGCGGGCGGGGCTGTGGCGCCAGGTGAGCGCAGTGGGCGGGGCGCGAGCGGTGGGCGGGAGGTGAGCGCAGTGGGCGGGGCGTGAGCGGTGGGCGGGGCGCGACCGCGGTGGGCGGGGAGCGATGTGGGCGGGGCTATTTGCTAGTGGTAAGCAGGGGCGCGCGGGGAACGGGCTGTTGACCTGTGGTGGGCGTGGAGAGCGTAGTGAGCCGGACGCGCGTGTCCTCCCCCTTCCTTTGGTGGAGGATAGTAAGAGGGCCGAGCGCATGGGGGCGGGGGCGGGATGGGAGGGCGGGGCGCATGTGGTGGGCGGGATGTTTGTTTCTGGTGGGCGTGGCTATTTTGCCTGCGGTGGGCGGAGCGTCCCCCGCCCTGTGGTAGGTGTGGCCTATCGCGTGGGGGCGGGGCCTGGCGGGAGGGGCGGGGGCTGGCGGGAGCGCGGTTGGCGGGCGAGGATTTGGGGCATGGTTGGCGCCTGGGCAGGGCGCCTCCCGACGCCCCTCGCCGACTTTCCGGGCACACCCAACCCTCCACTGTCCACAGGGCAAAGTCCAACGTTCTCCGTCCACCGTCCGCAGGCTCCGACCCTCTCGGTCCTAGGCGCGCCTCGCAGGAGCCCCGCTCGTCCGCGTCCCCCGTTTCTGGGCTGGGGTACGTCCCTCTGTCCGGGCGCCGGTCCGGCTGTCGCGCCTCCCCCCTCCGTCCCCGCGCCCGCCGCCGAGCTCGGGGCGGCCCGCAGCCCGCCCCTGCGGGAGGCCGGAAATACAGGTACGCACCCCTGCTTCAGGCTCCGGGGTCGGCCCCCGGGCTAGGCGGGCCGGGGTCGGGCCGGGGTCGGGCCGGCGGACGATCAGCCTTAGGCCTGGGCCGGCCAGCGGCCGAAGCTTAACGGGTCGGGAAGCTGGGGGGAGGCTTTGAAGGACCCCGGGCACCGGTGGGAAGAGGGAGCGGGCTTGCCCGGGAGTGAGCTGGGTAACGGGCCGGAGCGCCGTCCTCCCACCCCTCCAGCCCAGGCCCCGGCGGGGAGGACTTGCCCAAGGTCATCCCGCCGGGGATTCGCGCGGCGCCTTCGCCTAGAAGAGGAGGAGGAGGCCGGGCGTGTCCCCGCGTCCCGCTGGCCCTCGGGGTCCTCCTCGCCCCGGGCGGCTCTGGAGAATCCTGAGCGCGGGCCCCCAGCATCACCGGGCCCTGCCGGGTGTCGTCCTGCTCCCTGGACGGGCAGTCCCCTGGCCCCCTGGAGTGAGACACCAGCCCGGGCCGGGGGCTGCTGCTTGCCTGAGTCCCGTCCCGGGGGACAGCGACCCAGCCACCGCCGCCTGTCAGCGTCCCAAAGCTGAGCCTGGGATTAGCTGGAGGGGAGAGAAGTGGGGTCCCCTTGCCAGAGTGCGGGGGCTGGGAGGCGGGGAGTCCGCTGCTCTGGAGTAAAGGAACTTCCTTTGCAGGAGTCATCTGGGCCTGAGAGAGGCTGGCTCAGAGCAGACCTGCCCAGAACCCCACAACCCTGGCAGGGAAAGCCCGACTGGACAAGGCTCAGGGGTCTCCTCGGGCGGCTCTGGCACAGCACCCAGCAATGTTCCACTGGAAACTAGCCCTGGTCCTGGGCTTATGTCTACCGGCCAGCCTCAGCCTCTGGGTCCTGTGGTAAGCTGCACCTTGGGGCTCTCTCCCCTGACCACCCTCTATATTCAACCCCAAAAACCTGGATTCCCTTGAAAGTTTCCAGGCCCCATCAATCCAAGCTGACTCATCAGCTTCCCACTCCCCTCCCCAGCCAGATTAATTTTGGCTTCCACATTTTGCCTCATACTGACATTTGACTTGCAATATCCTCTGCTGAAACTATCCTTCCAACTATGAGGATCCCTATTCCAGCTCTCCCTCCTTCCCTCCCCCCCATCATACACACACACACACACACACACACAGCCTTTGGAAAGGTCTAGGGCTGTACTCCACTCCCAATGGTTAGGTAAGGCTCAGCATGGAGAACATAAATGCCCCAGGAGTGAATAAGTAAATGGGTGAATCGATATCTACATAGCAGGCACTGTGCCATATTAAAGAAATAGATCCTAGGATGGCAGGGACCTCCCCTCCCACACACATACACTATGCACTATAGGGGGTTCCAATGTGTGCCAACTGGGTGTCAGCCTGTTGGGCAGAGCAGAGTCAATGGGTGTTTTTCCTTTCCAGGGTGTATGTTGAGAACTGGATGCCAGTTTCTTATATACCGTACTACCTCCCCTGCCCAGAGATATTGTAAGTATGGGATGGGGCATGTGTGGGCGGTAGAGTGCTTGCCTAGCATGCATGAAGCCCTAGGTTCGATTCCTCAGTACCACATAAACAGAAAAAGCCAGAAGTGGCGCTGTGGCTCAAGGGGTAGAACACTAGCCTTGAGCAAAAGAAGCTTAAGGACAGTGCCCAGGCCCTGAGTTCAAGCCCCAGGACTGGCAAAAAATAAAAGAAAGAGAAAACTAGACCTTAGGCTTGCTAGTCAGTCGCTCTACTGCTTGAGTCGTGTATGCGCCAGTCCTTTTCATCAGATAGGTTAGGGTCTTGCAATTTTGCCTAGTCTGCCTCAGATCAAAACTTCCGGCTTCTGCCTCCCAAGTAGCTGGGATTACAGGTGTGAACTACCACAGCCAGCTTTCTGCCCAATTTTGTACCCTATGTGGACACAGGAACTGATTAACATTTGGCGAAATAAAGCCTTCTTCACTTTGTGGATGTAATTTTTTTTTTTTTGACAACTGAGTGAAAAAAATGGATTGGGACAGAATCAAGGGGCATCTGGCTCCATGGTCTTTCCTTTTTTTATGACAGCTACAGGAAAATTAAATATCTGAATTATAAGCTACTAATTAACAACAAAGTATGTTTTATTGTTATACATTATACATGTACTATGTATATACGTGTTTATTATTAAACATGGTCTATAATAGTGTCTCAATTCATTTCCTATTGTAAATAACACCATGCCACAGACCCAGGTAGAAAGAAAAATTTTTTTTTTTTGGGTCCAGTTGTGGGGCCTGAACTCTGGGCCTGGGTGCTGTCCCTCAGCTCTTCAGCTCAAGGCTAGCACTCTACCACTTGAGCCATAGCACCACGCCCGGCTTTTTTCTTTGTGCTTATGTGGTGCTGAGGAATCGAACCCAGGGCTTCATGCATGCAAGGCAAGCGCTCTACCACTGAGCCACCTTCCCAGCCCCAGAAAGAAAAATTTTGAGTCAGGTTCATACCTGCCATACAGCTGCTCAGGAAGCTGAGATTGGGAGAATCTCGGTTCAAGGCCAGCCCAGGCAAAAAGTTCACATGACTTGTCTCCACCAATAAAAATCTGGATATGGCGATGTGCTGCTGCCATCCCAGATGCCTAGGGAACATACATAGAAGGACCATGGTCCAGACCAGACTGGGCAGAAAATGAGACCCTGTCTGAAAGATAATGGAGCGAAAAAGGCTGGAAGAGTAGCCCACGTGGTAGAGGGCCTGCCGATTAATCACAAGGCCCTTCATGAAGAAAGACAGAGAAAGAGACAGACATTTATTTTGGTTTATGGTTCTGGTCCAAGGTCGAGGAGGTGCATCTAGTGAACTCTGTGCTGGCAGGGCCCCACAGTGGCATGGGGCATTGGATGGTGAGGCACAGGAAGTATACTATAAGTTCCCACTCCAGGAAATAGCATAGTGAGCCTATTAAATGTGAGGATTAACTATAAACAAAGCCAGCCGTGGCGTCAGTGGCTCACACCTGTCATCCTAGCTACCCAGGAGTCTGAGATCTGAGGATCAAGGTTCAAAACCAGCCCAGGCAGGAAAGGCCATGAGACTCTTATCTCCAATGAACCACTCAGAAAACCGGAAGTGGCACTGTGGCTCAAGTGGTAGAGCGCTCGCCTTGAGCCAAAGAGCTGAGGGACAGTGCCCAGGCCTAGAGTTAAGCCCCATGACTGACAAAAAAATAAACAGTGCCCTGGGATACACTCAAACCACATCCAAACCATAATAGTGAACAAGCTGGAGCCAGGTACCAGAGGCTCACACCCGTAATCGCAGCAACCCAGGAAGCTGAGATACAAAGATTGTGATTTGAAATCCGCCAGAGCAGAATGTCTGTGAGGATCTTTGTTAGGAACAATCTAGTGGACCTAAGGAGAGAAAGAAGGCAGAGACCTCAGCAGACCAGAACAGGTTTTAATCATGGCTGCAGAGGGACTCTATATAACATCAAGCAGGGTTGGGTTAGGGTTTTATACATTCTAGGGTGAGACTCTGGAATTTCTTTGTCCTGTCCTGTTTGGGATTTACGGTGCAAACAGTTCCATTTGGAGTTTTATGGTAGGGATATCATCCTGATTTCAGATAGGGTTAGGGGTGAGGTTTTCCTGAGAACAGGAGAGGCCCCTGGGGAAGGTGGTCAGTGGGCCATGGGAGAAGCAAAGAGTTAGGAGAATGAAGCAAATTCCCATCATTTGAAACCCTGACGGGGTATAAAAGGTTGAGGGATGTCGTGGTCTTTTCTGGCTACTACCTGCTCACATAGGGGCACTAAGGAGTCACTGGGTCTGGGGTCCTCAGGGTCAGGGTCTGCACTGGGCAGGGCAGGATGGTACAAGTGAAGCCTCCAGTTGCCTGCTATAATAGGATGTCCTTGTCTTGCTCCCAGGTAGTATCCTGAGTGAGGGCTGTTATCCTGTTAAAGAGAAACTTTTGAAAAATGTTGAGAAAAACAGGGTCCAAGAAGGAGGAGTAAGAGAATAATTGGTCCTAATAAAGAGGCCAGCCAGGGGGACCATGGTGAGAGGGAGCCCCACCACCATGTCCTTTGGGATGATTCCCATCATCTATTGAGATGTTCCTGCAACTGAGTTGAGATCAAACAAGAGGCGGACAAGGTGGCAGGACCAGTTGATATGAATGACACAGGAGAACACACCCTGGTCACAAGCCAGAAAAGTTCCATTTGGAGCACAAACCCAGTTGTGACCTATTACAGGGGAGGAGGAATTTCCATATAGCTGAACTGGGGGCAGGAGGGGACTGTCTATAGAGTTTCTGGTGACTGGGTAGGGAAGAACATGGTTGACTGGTTAAGAAGCTAGGGATGGATTGGAGTGATTAAAGGCCCAGTGGGAGGCCTGGAAGATTTCCTGTAAGTAGAATATAGAAGTCTAGATTATAGATTTCTGGACCACAGAGTATGGATGGGAGACCCAGGAAGGTGCCAAGGCAAATTGTCCTGAGTCCAAGACTCACTATAAATAGAAATAGCAGTTAACACAGGCAAGAATGTAAGTTCCTGTCCAGTTAGAAGATACACAGGAATGGACATTAGATAGGCATGCTTATGAACTATTTTCTTTTGATCTACCAGCTCTTGATTACTTTTTTTTTTTTTTTCTTTTTGGGTCCGGTCGTGGGGACTGAGCTCTGGGCCCGGGCACTGTCCCTCAGCTCTTCAGCTCAAGGCTAGTGCTCTACCACTTGAGCCACAGCGCCACTTCTGGCTTTTTCTGCTTATGTGGTGTTGAGGAATCGAACCCAGGACCTCATGCATGCAAGGCAAGCGCTCTACCACTGAGCCACCTTCCCAGCCCCTCTTGATTACTTTTGAAGGGACAAGCACAAATCCATTTAGGATCTGTCACCATCCCCTCTTATCTGAGCAGCTCTTCCCAACTGCCTCTGGATGGGCCCTTGTCACCAGGACCAGCTCTGTCCCTGTGGGTCCCCTTCTCCTTGCTAGGATAATGTCCAGCAAAAATAGGATGGCCCATCTGGCGTTTTTGTGTTTTGTTTTGTTTTGTTTTTTTTTGTCGGTCGTGGGGCTTGAACTCAGCTTGGGCACTGTCCCTGCGCTCTTCAGCTCAAGGCGAG